GATCATGGAGGATGAAGCTGAGAGCTCGTATTATCCCCCATGGGTGTTGCGCTGGAAGAGAAGTGCAAAGGAAGGATCCTTGGTGTTTAAGGAACTGGTGGAGCGAGTGCGAGTGATTTCGATGTTGTCGTGTGATACACTTCGGATTCACGAGCCGGAGCTGAGGGAGAGACCAGTCCCCAAGTGGTCGTTTGTGGCCTACAGCCACTACAGATCCGTGATGGAGTCTGTTGCAGGATTCTTGGAGGACCTGGAGAAAAAGAAAGAGGAGATCACCGACACGCAGAGGGCGGCAAGCTGGAAGAAGGTGGTTGCGAGTGAAACTCGAAGCGGTGTTGTGTGGATCTGCAAGTGTAAGTGGCACTTGCCGACCGACTATGTGGTGAGGTTCAACTTGACGTTGCCTGCCGACATGTGGCAGCAAGCCTTTGGGATCATGGGTGAGAATGTTGGGAAACTCGAGAAGGAGGAAAAGGACCTGAAGCGGATCCTCAAGGCTGCAGCGGAACAGCAAGACCGAGAGTTCGAGGAAGCTGAGCGAAAGCGCAAGCGCATCGCCGACCTGTCAGCTGCCGAGGAAGAAGCTGCTAAGAGAGCAAAGCTGGAAGGCGAAGCGGTTCGCTCGCCTGTGTCAGTTGTACCATCTGAGTTGGATGCAGCAGCTATCGCGCAGATTGCTGAGCGTGTGAAGGCAAGCTTTAGTGTTGCCGATTTGGAGCTGATGTTGGAAGAGAAGAAGAGAAAGGTTGGAGACCAGCCAACTGAGAGGCCTGCGGAGACGCCAGCTGAGCCTAGCCGATCTTCGCAGGATGTGATGATGGAAACGAGGACGGCTGAGTTGGCGGAGATGAAGGAAGCCGCCAAGGAGCGCCGCGCCAAGTTGATGGAGTCAACTGGAGCTGGCGAGAAGAAGGGCGAAGAGGATGAAGAATGAACTGAGATGCTAAGTGATCTCAGTGGTTGGGTGGGTGAGTGAAACCCGCAGCCATTTTTTTGGAAGCCATGGCCGCGTTGCCGCCATGGAGCGCCCGCGATTTTTCTGGTTAGTGTGAGCCCTTGTTTCAGTGCATGAGAAGTTTGCAAAGAGGAGGCAAAATGATGATGAAACTCAACGAGGGACTCTATAGCCCCTTCTGCAAGGCGTCTGATTGCCACCTCTGAAGACGTTTTTGGCTGATGGTACGCTGGAAGAAGCGAAACTATGAAGCCAATCTTTTCCTGAAGGATCAGCTAGCCGATGCTAGTTGGTGAGTTTGGTGACCTGGAAGATGCGAGACTGAGGAGGAGTACCACGACAAGGTCGAGTGCTGAGTGGGAAACATCTGAAGCTTGCATTAATTCGTTTTCACGTGTTTGTCACCACGAACTCTTGGATTCGTTCCAAGACAACCCTGCCCCAGTGCAGGTGGATGCAAGTTTAATTCGTTTTTCACGTGTTTGGACAACGAACTCTTGGGTTACCAGTGATGTGGACCCAGGACAACCTGCCTGATGGTGGGATCTTGCATGAGTTTTAAGTTTGATGTCAGAGATCGACTGGTGTGTTGTTTGTTTCGTTTGGTGGCGAGTACGCACCAAGGGAATGTGGCCAGGGCATCCCCTTAGTGTTGAAGTGCCGAGCTGGGCTTGGACTTCAGATCTTTGACATGAACCCTCAGCAAAATGCGGGGGGTGGAAGATTGTGGCTGATCAGTGATGTTTTTGTCATGTTTTGGATCAGCTTGTATAGGTTTGTTTTGCTTCGGAGTGATTGGGAATCCGTGTGATCCCATCCTCGATGGTTTATGCCTCGTTGATTTCCAAGGAAATCATACGAGTGTGTTTTTGCCCAATACGCTATTTAAAGTGAGTGTGCAGTGTGTAGGAACTTCGTTCTGAAGCTGAGTTTAAGCTCACAAGAGAGAATTCGTTTAGTTTGTGCACTTCGTGACTTTTGGCTCATGGCTCAAGTGGCTCTGACTGTGAAAAAGAGAGAGCTGTCCGCACTTGTGTGAGAGGTCAGGGTTCGTGCTTTCAAGGGAAAAGGTACCAGAGGGACCTTCGGTTTTTCACGTAGGGTTTAGGTTCAAGAAGACTTACAAGTGCGCGTCTTTAAGCGGGTCTCTCTCTTACCCTTCTTGCCCAATTGATCCCAAACCTTAAACCCTAAACTCTGAATCCTAAACCCCAAACCCTCCACCCCCAAGGGCTCCAGGCACCGCTCAAGTCCCTTGGAGGCCCATCTGGCTAAGTCAACACGTTCCAGTGCAGAATCGTCACCGCCATGCGCAGCCAAGGAAGACTTACAAGTGCGCGTCTTTAAGCGGGTCTCTCTCTTACCCTTCTTTGGCCCAATTGATCCCAAACCTTAAACCCTAAACTCTGAACCCTAAACCCCAAACCCTCCACCTCCAAGAGATCCAGGCACCAGCTCAAGTCCCTTGGAGGCCCATCTGGCTAAGCCCTAATCTCCAGCTAATGATGCCTTGAAGGTCTTGGCCCAGTCGGTTTCCGAAGACAACCAGGCCTCGTGCATCTCTACCGTTCTGTAGGGTTTAGAGTTTGGGGTTTTGGGTTTTGGTTTGGGGTTTTGGGTTTTGAGTTTGGGGTGTAGGGTGTGCCAAGACCTTCAAGGCATCGGGCCTCCAAGGGATTTGAGCTGGTGCTTGAAGCTCTGGGCCAAAGAAGGGTAAGAGAGACCCGCTTAAAGACGCGCACTTGTAAGTCTTCCTTGGCTGTGTATGGCAGTGACGATTCTGCACTGGAACGTGTTGGATTTTTTCTTCACTCCGCTTGCAGGCCACATTCTGTGCCAGACAACTTACTCTCTTTGAAGAAGTTCTTGGCCTTCTTCTAGACAGCATTGTCAACGCGTCACGGCAAGGCGCTGGAGCAACTTGGCAGCCCCCGTTGGCTGGCAAGCGGCCTTGCGCTGGTCATGCTGGCTTTGTTTTTGCTGTCTTTAAGATGTGCCGTCCGCAGCGACTGAAAGGCGGCACAGTGTAAGAGGTGCAGACGTTTTAGAGAACGCGCGCCCAACGGACAGGCAGGATCCGAGAACCTTCACGAAGGAGAGGGCTTTAGTTATCAAGGGGGCTTCATCCTTCGAAGCCTTCAAAGGCTTTGAAGCCTTTGAAGGCAAAGTCGAAGGGGAGGCTTCGAAGCCCCTTTGCGCCAAAGGTCTGAAGCCCCCCTTCGGCTTACAAGAACGAAGGGGCTTTGAAGGCTTTGAAGGCTAAAGGACCTTCGAAGCCTCAAGCCCCCTTCGTCTTTCTTCGAACCCCCCCCCTTCGTTTTTACCTTTAAAGCCTGAGAATTGGGGGAAGGAAGGGAGAAGAGAGAAGAAATGTGTTCTAAATTCCACCTTCCTTGAATCTTTTTGGTTATTTGTATTTTAAGAGAATTTCTTCTAAATTCCACTTCCCTTGATTCTTTTGTTTTTTGTATTGAAAAATCAGAGGAGCAGTGATAAGACGGAGTCTTGAAGCTCCCTTCGTTCTTGCCTTTAAAGCCTTCAAAGCCTCCCTTGTCTTCACCTTTGAAGACTTTGAAGCTTCCTTCGCTTACCCTTCAAAGCCTTCAAAGCCTTCGTCAAAGCCTTTAAAGCCTTTGTTCTGAGACCCCTACGTTTTCCCCGCCTTCCTGCCTTCCCCCCCTTCGACCCTGGCTTCAAAGGCTCCAAAGGCTTTGAAGCCCCCTTTGCCAAAGAGGAACGAGATCCAGCCCTCCAACGGAATTGGGTTCTTCGACTGGTGGTGGTACCTGTTGTTGTCCGTCGCTTTCTTCAGAGCTATTAAGAGCCATAGCTGATTCTGCAATTAAGTTGTTGGAGGCAAAATCCCAAGTTCTCAAGCAGCCAGCTTCCTTATTCTGCTTTGTCTACATGCCATGCTATGCAAGCTCTGACCCAAAACCCTAAACTCTTAACTCCAGACTCTGATTCTAAACCCTACTCTTAACTCTAAACCCTCTCTAAACTTCAAACCCAAAGCATCCGCAAACTCTGCTTCGTATCCGCCTTAAACCATCGACCGAAGACCCTAGGTGGCGCTGCTGAGGGTCATAATCAAGACAGCGGAAATATCTTTCAGAAGCGGTCTTAACAGGCCCTGTTCCAATCCTGGTTGACATGTTGGCTGCAGTGCACAACCGCCAGGGCAACCCAGCAAACAATTCAACAAGGCCTGGAAGCTTTACACCTGTTTCATGAAATTCTGGGAAGAGTGTACAACCTGTCTTAACAATGCGCCGCCTGAGCTCTTAGGCCCTAAGCTCCAAACTTTAAATCTTAAGCCTCCAAAACCTAAGCTTTTAGTGTTTTCTCCCGCCGTCTTCCCCCTCCCCCCCAAAGAGGAACCGCCGGTGGAACAAACGCACATTGCCGTTACTGCCGTCCCTCAGCCAGGCCCGGATTTGGATTTTGTCGGGTTTAGGCAGTGGGTGATTCGAGTTTTGAGCATCTTGGTCAATTTGGGTTTAAGTATTCTTTCAGGGGTGAGGACCTTGGCGAGCCATTAGATCATGGAAGCTTGCAAGGCTCTCAGACGACGTGGCATCTTCTGCTACATTATTTCGTCCTGTGTCCAGGCCACGGGATGAGGCACATGTTTGCCTGAAGGCCGCTGCATCATTATCCTTCTGGGACTCGGTGTTGGTTCAGCTTTCAGTCGTCATGGTGGATTTTGAGGCCAGCAGGAGCACTCCGAGCCATATTTGAGAATCTGATGCTGCGCGTGACCGTGCCAACTAAAAAGAGCGTTGGCTGTCTGCACTTTGTCGCCTCGTACTCAGTTAGGCCCATGCCTATGTGCATGTATCGACTTGCCTTGCCGCTTCCGCAGCTCCTGCCGGCCTGACACTTGTTGGACTTGTTGTTCCACGACCATCCTGTTCTTGAATGTGAATCTTGGTTGCGCTATCTTCCTGTTGCTTGTTGGGTTGATTTTCCAAGTTGTTTTTGCCAGCACAAGTTTGTCTGGGCACATCGCTGTCGGGTTTTTGACCATTTGCTTACGCGTCCAATGGCTGCAGCAGGGCCGCAGGCCCTGGGGAATGTTGGGGCTCCATTCTAAAGTTGAAGGAATCTCCTCCCCCCTGTATTTAACTCCATCTAATTTGAATTTTAGGTGGTGTGGAGGAGGTTAAAAGCGGGAGAGGATTAAGACTCACCCCGCAGACTTGAGCATTCTTTGCAACTTGATCCTTGGCAGGTCCCGCAGTATCATGAACGCTACATCAAACTGGATGCCTGGAGGGCGAACTTCAAGCAAGAAGCCTGCTCCCGGGCTGCCGCAATTGACTCCTTGCAATTTCTTTTCTTTTTTGTGGTTGGTGTCGTGATGGATCAAGCCTTGGACAAGTGGTCTGATTCGCAGAAAACGCGGTGGACTGACAAGGCCGACTTTGTGCAATACCTTTTTCTCATCGGTTCCTTCGTAGGGATTGTTTTCTCTTTTTACAATTACACCTGGTCTCTGCTGGCAGCTTGCACGGGGTCTTCAGTCGGACTGCTGTGGAGAGATGTTGAATGGCATCGTGCAGGGTGTCTCAGCCCACAAGAGGACGCTGCTTATCTCAGCAGCCAAGCAGCAGCAATGTTGATTGGTCCATATGTGGCCTGGAGCATCATGATTTCTTCGAAAGCCCTGGACCGTGTCTACGGACCTGCCGTTCCTGATCATTGCCAGTGGGCTAAGCGGACATGGGAGCAATGGGAGCACCCTTCCAATTTGGCACAGGGTTTGCTCCGCATGTGCAGATGTCTGTTGGGTTGTCAGCGACTTCAGTGTTTTGAGTTGGAACTCGAATCTGACAACGGCGAGTACCTTGACCTTCATTTCTTCCAGACTTGGCAGAGTTGGAGTGATGATGGCGAGAATGAGAATGATCCGGACGACCTCAGCCACGGGGAAGTGCAAGATGAGCAGGGACTTAGCTCCGTTGACGAGTCACATGCACCAGGTCGACCCATTGAGATCATTGAGGGTCTGGAATCTGGGTCAAAATGTCAAGCGGCGCTGATCTACAGCAAGCACGGTGATCATGTCAAGCCCCAGGAAATCGAAACAGGTCGTGCCACCATGAAGGTGGGCCAAAAGGAGTATAGCAACATCAAGGAGGCGGAGCCCTCCCATCATTCGAATCCCATTCTTCTCTTAGTCTACACCAAGGACGAGAGAAAGCGTTTCCTCCTGCATGCAGACTCCTGGAACGCTTGTTTAAGCTGTGTTCAGACGGCCATATCAAGGTTTCTATTGCCGTTTCTGGTTCTTCTTTTGGCCCTTGGGTGGCAATACAGTTTCCACAAACACGGAGGCTACAAGGAAGCAAGCATCTTGGTTTTGATGCTTCCAGAGGTGATAGAAAAACTCTTGCATCAAGCCGCAGCCGACACAGTGACAAACGCAACGGGCTTCCAAACTGAAGCGGGATACGTTGTCACTGAAGTAGATGATGTCCTCTTGAAGGGGTGGAATTGCACCCGTGGTGCGCCTGGATCGTCTCTGGGAGCACACATTGCAGTTTGGGACACGTCATTCTTCTACGCCGCTTGCTTCCTGTTCGTTTGGTTGGGGTGCTATCACCTCCATGTGGCAGCAGGATCGTTGCGGGAGCTGACGGCGCTTTTGCACTTGCATGCGCATGAAGACGATCATGCACAAGCAGTCGTGCTGCACCTTGGGTCCGTCCAACGCTTCTTGCAGATTTTGGGTGCATGCCTGTTGTCATGGGTTGTTGTCATGGGCTCTGGTTCTTGACGGATTTGCCTGCATTGGAGATTTGGCTTTCCGGACTCCCACGGAACATTTAAACTGACTCAATTAGTTTCACACTGCCTCGGCTTTTTTGCTGCACTGCTGTGACCGCTGACGCATGGCCATGCCTTGCAACATGCATCACGCCCCCCCCGCCCGCCGCGCGCCCCCGGCTGTTGGGGAGGTTGGCCAGACTTTGGAAACCTAGGTGCAAGCGCAGTAAAACGGGGTATCAATCAACAGGGAGGAGAGGGGGGGCGTGCAGGGAGAAGCGTGATATAGGATGATGGCGATGTTGGCAGGAGGAGGGGGACCATGTTGGATGTTCCACGTGGCAAAATACTCGGAGGCTGAATGGCTCGTCGAATTGGACCCACGTGTGCTAGTGCGCTGGGCGCATGTGATACGCATTTGTCATGCCCTTTGTTTAGTTGTGGATCGTTGCAGAGTCTTCATGTAAGATTGGAGCTCCTTGGACTAGTTCGCAGAACTTGCATCCCAGGTACCGGCTGAACAATATTCGCCAAGAAGTAAGGGACAGTCGTGCCCTGAAGCACGTTGCTGCAGAGGCCTTTCCAATTGGTCTGAAGCCTGACGAATCTCTGGCATGGTGGTTCGAGACCAGAGCAGCCATATTTCTGGATGCCAAACGCAGCGTCGACAAAAGGTCTCGGATCTTTGCTTTGGGCATGCTTGCCGAGCTCGTGATGATTTTGGTGACATGCCTGTCATATGTCCTGAAACACAAGGATGCAAAGTTCTATGCTATGTGTTATGCAGCAGGCTATAGCTTGCTGTTGGGCTTGCAGACTCTGACCTACATTTACCTCGCCAGCCAGGTGAACTATGAGCTAGAGCATGGCCTAGAGGAAGCGATCAATGTTGGCTGTGACTCGGATATGGCACCCAAGCGTCATCAGCTGAACAAAGCGCCCAACGGCATGCGCACTGAACTTCTTGACTATGAAACCCTGCACCCAGCTCAACTTGAGTTCATGGGTGTGCCATTTTCCTTCCAGGCTGCTGCAGGATATGCGGCGCCTTTGGGGGCGTACGCAGTAGCTGTCGTGCTTTGGGTTATGAAGCAGTCACTTGGTGTCCCAGATGTTACAAATTGAAGAGTGCATATGCTGCATGACAGGAGCCGAAGAGCATGTTACCATACTGCATTTAGAGAGGAGTCGACCACATTTGCTGTCTATGCTGATATGCTGTCAACACCGTTTTTACAAAGGCTCATAGAATCTGCACCACATTCGCAAAGACTAGACGGTGAGCAAGCTCCGGGACAGGAGGCTTCAATTCGGGAATTTCAGTGCAAGCTGTGCTGTGGCAGAGCCTGGTCAGCCGCTTGGGTGGCTGCTGGGAGCACACGTGCGCTGAGGCTCGGATCTAGGTGATCTACAGAGCCACATGTACAGCGTTCAAACTTGCTCATCGTCTCGTCACAGGTAGGTATGAGGCAATTCCGAGATTTGGCTCCTGCTCCAAAGCTTGAACAGTGTGCCAGAGGTTCAGAAAAAATCGCAAGCAGTTGTTTTGCTGGCTTTTTGTCGTTCAAGCCGGAAGCTGTCGGACATAGGCAGGGGCCAGATGTGAAAGCAGCGCACAGACATGGGGTGATCCTTGATTCCCGGGTCCCATGCCATGCACGATGCTCATGGTATCTCATGGTGTAGGCATACGGCAGCGTACCTAGAAGAGCCTTGGAGACTAGAGCTCTCTCGGAGTCTGCGTGGTTGTTGAGCAGCGGCGCTCGTTTTAAGCAACGGTTGACGTGGTGCGTTGCAACCGGTGGTTGTTGGGTCACAGGCCACAGTGTTTTTCGAATGATTGCTACATTGGCCAAGGTTGAGCGCGACAAAGGCGTTAATTACCAAGGCAATCGGAACTGTCAGGCTTTTTTCGCGGTGCACGTTGCACGTGGGGAAGGCTTTGTCCGCAGCACAGCTTGCAGTGCAGGGCTGCCCCACTTCGGCTTCTCTCGTGTGCCCCAACAACATGTCTCAACAATTCGCAGCATTTACACTAAACCTAGCCGGAGCCACCCTGAACGTCGAACCCGAAGTCCGAAACCCTGCGATGCAAGTCCAAAACCAAAACTCTGATTTTTAACCGAATATGCTCGTTACACAGCCCTAAACCCCAAACTTCCAAACCCTAAAGGACAAACATGACACGAGCCTTCTGAGTGTGGCCAGAGAGCCGATGACTTCCACAGTAATTATGGTTTCCACGCCCCCTTGAAGCGCAAGGCAGGAGAGAGCATGGCTTCACATAAGCCTTCAGAGGGTTTGACAAGGGCTTGATGCAGTTTTTCGGATTTGTTTTTGAGATTCCAATGGCGCTTACCTTATCGCATGTTCCTTCAGTCATTATGCGTTTACTGTCATGGTGTTGGTCGTTTTCTGGATGTGTGCTGACCAACTTCCTGTTTTAGATATTCAGAAAAATAAGACAGCAGCCAAGCCATAGTGATGGTTCCAGTGGCATCTGTAGCAAAAAGCACAAGGAGTAGCATTCCATTTTACAATTTTTGTTTTCTAGCGGTATTCCATGTTATTGCTGTCCTTTTGCACAGAGCGACGGACACCCAAGTGACTTCAATATCCTTTACTTGAGGACTGTTCGTTACATGCCTCCACATTTCAGTTTTTCCTGAGATCCCGATATAGCTCGCCCTGATAGACCCCTGACAAAGCCTAGTTGTTGATTCAAGATAAAGCTTTGAACAGCAGACACTCCTTCCAAGTCCCCTACTCAAAGAACCGCTCGTTGGTGGCAGGACCTTTGACAACCGTGGGGCCACCATACCCGGGCAGTGCACTCGGCACTATACCTGATCCCCCAAAAACACTCTGCAAGATTCTATGCTTAAGGAAGAGTTATTAAATCAGAGTTTAGGGTTAATTGAGGGTCCAGGACAGCATTAGCATAACTCCAAGACCCCCACACTTAAGGAACATAGTCGTAAGCAGAGTTGAGGATTCAAAAAGGCTCCAAGTTTCCTGAAGCATGGAACTTGAGGTTTTGGATTTGTTTTACGAAGGTGTTATAACGGGCCTATTGCATCCAGATCCTTGATTCCTTGTTGAGGATCTACACCAAAACTTTGGGGAACATTCTATGTTAAGGAGTATTAGTTGAGGGATGTTGGAGGCTCTAGCAACACATGTCGGCCTCCGTCGCAAGTTTTCCAATTGTCGAGTAGGTTGCCTTTGTGTTTGTATCTTGGGTCTCAGGGTTGCGGCTTTTGGCATGTTTGGAAGCTTCAGATATGTTGTTTTTCCTGGCAGCCACACTGTTCGACGTGAGTCAAAGTTACACAGATCAAGAAAGTTCCCCGAAGGATCCGTGGCATGGTAAGAGTTAGCAGTGCTTACGGTTTGGCACTTGTTCAGGTTTGGGCCCTCTACAGGACCAGTCGTCTTGGGTTCTTGATGACCTCGCGGTTTGCGTGTCTTAGTTTTCTGCTAGTTGGGCAAAGGCGGAGTGCAGGGATCCAGCAAAGGTTTCGCAGGTGGGCCACCTTTTCTGTCCCAAAGCCTAGTAAACCCCCGAACCCTAAAACCCCAGAGCCCAGTAGCTGAAATTTAATAAAACCCTCCTCCTGGGCCCGGGGCAAAAGTGCCTGGGGTCCAAGGAACCTTAAATGCTAAACCTTCGTTTGGGAGCCAGGTTTGTTAGCTTTATGCACACGGGTCACGTCGGGGGTTCTTCTGATGTCGGTCTAAGATGGTTTCAAGAATCGATTCAGGCGTAAAGGGTTAGGGCATCTGCGACGATACTGGGACGACCACTGTGCAAGTGTGTACGCACATGTTCATCCATGTGCAGTAGTGGTTGTATGCACCCACTTTATTCAACTACATCAAACTCGCGCGAATGCTTCATATAGAAGTCTGCAGAATCATCGTAGTCAGTATTACACACTATTCCTTCGGGTTCCTACTTCTATCTCTATGCCAGAATATTCCAACAACCCTTGATACCCTATTTCCGCCCGCCTAGTCATTGAAGTGCCGATCTTCATAATTCACGAGGGTCTTGTCTCGAGGATCGACCTTGGGCAACTTTACGGTGCTTTAAGGGTAGGTTTTTGGGTTCCTTTGGGGCTTCTTTGGGAATTCCTGTAAGTGTTGCTTTAAGAACCCTTCGTTCCTCAGCAACCTAGCAGAAGTTACATAGAACGTCGGGAGCCTTGCAAAATTACTCCGTCTCCGACATCGCCTTTTTCGAAGACTGCATGCTCAACCCCAGACCTTAGCCAGCCTCTGGAGAGTTGTTAACAGTACTCAGGCTATTTTCTAACCCTTCAACCCCAAACCCACACATCCGTGTCTTCTTGCGCAGAAAGGCCACACTGCACATAGAAAAAATCACCCAAACCCCAGACGCTGAACCTCATACCCTGAACCACAAGCCCTTCCAGGCTGAGCGGCACAGGACTCAACGTCTGAGCTGATGGCTAGTACGAAATGGTTCGGGTTCAGGGTTTAGGGTTTAGGAGTATAGGGTTAGACGAGGGCTTGGGAGTTGAGGGTTTCGGGTTTAGGGTGTAGGGTTCTGACTGAAGGTTCTTTAAGGTGTGCGCTGACGACTCTTTCCACGCAGTGGATTCCGTCGAGCCTAGGGGTGACCCGGAAAGGGGAATTTCAATACCGTCCTCTCTTTCGGGGCGTACTTGTAGTATAATGGACCCCAAAACCTCCTGTTTCGAGGCACAGCTGCTGGGCCCAGCAGAGGGGGCTCCTTCTAAGGCTTTCTTGAAGGCGTCCTTGAAGGGATTCTGTGCCGAGGGGTTGTATTGTATGGGTACTAGGGGTTTTTGGTGGGTTCGAGGGTAGTCTTGCCAGGTTTCATGGAGTTTCATAAGGTTTGATAGGTTTCGGGTTCTTCAGGTGCCACCTTATGGCGGACTCCTTAGTCAGCCTCTTTAGAGGTTAGCTGTGCCCGCCAAGCCTGGCGGAACATGAGGATCGCGAGGACGTCAGTCAGGCTACAGCGAGTGCGTGGCTCAACTCGAGGCAGCGCTACCCAATGGAATGGTCCCCAGGACTGCTCGCCAACATTTTAAGCACCCTGCCGGTCTCCCACACTGGCGGAGCTCCCCACCAGCCCCACGCTGCCTGGAATCCCAGAGCCCTGCGGATCCCAGCCCATCCGGCCGACGAGGCAATGGACCCAAGAACCCGTGTTGCCACCCTTCGCCCTGGCAACTGAGCTTCCTAATCCGCTTGAGCGACACCATGTGGGGGGCGGACGGGCGCTTGGCTGCCTTGCTTGGTGTTTTTTCCTTTTCTCTGGCTGCAAACAGGACTGCGGTCCATGTCACAGGAGCTCCAGGCAGCGGCAAGACACGGGCATGTTCTTTCATGGGGGTTCTCCTTACGGGCATGGCACAGCGCAACGTCCTCTACACGGCGCTTGGGAATGAGTCCGTTCGCCCCTTTGCGGAGACCGTAGATGGGCTCTTGACCCAAGCCTGGTAGTCCGAGTCCCCGCAAGAAAGGAGAAGGATAAGCACCCTCTTCCCTTCGATGACAACGAGATAAGGCGAGCAAAGCTCTTCGCCTGCACCCACGGCGCGGTGAATTTGCATCTAGGTTACGCTTACTCGGATTTGGCCAAGGCCTTGCCGGATGTCGACGTGGCACTGCGGGACGAGGCACAACACTACCTGGTGTAGCCCCCCCCTCTCCTTGGGGAGGGGGTTTTTACTTCTTGCCTTCTGTGTGCGCTTTTTCCGCTGGCAATTGCGTTTTCCTGAGGTTGCAGCCTGTAGTTGCCGCCTCACACGCGGTCTTCCAGATGTATGATCTACCCTTGCGTCAGCCTTGGCTTGCATTGCACAGGACGCTCCCTTCGCTGTCCTTGGATGATTATGCCATTTGCCAGCCTTTTGCATGCATGCCTCTGCCCATTATGCGCCAGCCTGTGAATTCGCCCCCGAGCTGAGGGAACTGTGTGCTTCTTCGACCAAGCACTCTCTGCATAGTCCGCGACGCACATGCCTGCGATGCACTTTGCTACCTGGGATCCCTACTTTGTCTTCGTCGTGAACTGAGAGGGGCCTGTTTCACCTTTTGTACCTAGTGAGGACGGATTTTGTCTTGTT